ACATTTTAAACCTTAATAAAAAATCGATACAGAGCTTTAGAATATCGATACAGTATCGGGAAATGAAATATCGCGATATTTCAGTGTATTGATACTTTCTTACACCCCTAAATATTATGACTTCATTTTATATGACTTTAATGTCTTAATATTATGACTTTATTCTCAAAATTTTAAAAAAATCTCGTGTGGCCCTAAAACTCAATTGTAGCACAGTGACTCAGTGACTGCTAGGTTATGTCAATGTCAATTTAATTAATAGGTTAATTGTTAACTCTGAGTTAGAGATGTTCTTTTGCCTCTATGTGGCCCCGCCCCTCACACTGTGACCTYCACCAGTGGCCCTGAAAGAAAGGAGGCGAGTAAAAGCGTTGATTCAAGCRTACGCCATGCTTTAGTAGGAAGTCCAAGTCATGAGGCGCCAGTAAATGACTTGGATATGCATCATTCAGGTCTCATGGCCTCACATCTTTAACAGCTCTGGGGGTATCGGGTATGTGGTATTATCACTCYTTTTTGATCTGTAGGAGGTCTGTGTGGTTCAGACTTTTTTTTTGTACATTTTCTACCACAGATTGGGATCAATGCCTCTGGCTTTTTGTTGAATATGTTTTGTTGTTGACCAGGCTACAGCTGCCTGCGAGAACYTTTGCCTTGGGGCAGCGCAGCCGTGTTAAGATGAGTGGAACATGTTCAAGGACAAGCACGTTAATACGAAGAGCCACKGTTTCCTCAGAACACTGCGCTGCAACAAAACAATCAGATCAATGTTATTTACCGCACACGTTGTGCAGCTCTTTTAAAACCCTCAAAACACAAAGTATGAGCCATATACTCCCACTTTTTCTCAGGTCTCATTTGAGCAAATGAGCTTTAAATRTCAGTGTGTTGATTATAAATAGCAAAACATCAAATCGTTTTTTTTTTCTCAAGCTATTTTTGTAAAAAAGGCCGAATCAAAGAGCAAGGAGTGTAACAATTTTCATGGAGCTACTCTTTGTTTTTCACAGTAAAAACCCAGCACAGTGCAAGTTAAAGTTGGTCTTTCAAGTTTTCTTGAAACAAATTGTCAGCCTGCTGTCACGTATCAAGGCTGTGCTAAAAGCAATCCAGCTGGATTTTACACTTGGGCATATTTCAGAATCAGAAGTAAACTAAATATAAACTTCTAAGCTGAACTTTCAGTCTGTTTCTGTTTTTTATTTTAAACAAAAAAAAAAGCTGTCACATATTTACTCCCAGGAGTCTTATTTTTCATTGGATATATTTAGAGAGCCGTGCTGATTAACGGAAAATTCAGTGCATACAGTAGTTTGTAGATTGAGGGATCAGAATATATTTATCTATAAATAAAAAGGAAAAGGCGAAGACGTGAGAGGAAACTTGAGAGGTCTCAAGTAAAACTGGAAATAGTCATATAGTTTACATTTCAAATCTTTGGTATGGAGTTCTGTGGAAGAGCTATAAACAGTAATTATCTTACCTGTTGTAGGTAGTTTAAACAAATCAGTCTGTAAAAACAAAAAGTTCATTCTGACCAGAGTTAGTCAGCTGCTGCTGCACTTATACACATTACCCAAGTGGAAAACAGTAGATTTCAACAGTTTAGTTAGTTTTCACTGTGTTCTTATTAATGACATATATTGACTGAAGGATTAGTGTTGATGTTTTGATTTTGGAATTGATTTTAGAGCATCAAGTTCTGGTATTTGTGGTATTGATATTTCAGTAATGATTTGCACATTACTACGGCTAACGGTTAGTCCAACATCAAACATGTTGCATTCCCAGAGCAGGCAATTTATTTATTTATTTATTTATTTATGTCCTGGATGACTGAGAATCCACAGAAACATATTTTAGCAATGTTTATCTTGGAGCGTATTGATATTAAAGTTAATGGATCGATACTTTGCTTCCAGCCCGTCTGGAGCAGACGACCAGAGGACAGTTCAAATGTAAACAGTGAACTAAACAAGCATGTAAAGTAATTATTTCATTGATTAATTAATGTTTATTATACTAATTAATTAATCTGCTCTGACTGAACACAGGGCTATTCAACTGGTGGCCCGCGGGCCACATCACATTTGATTTCCAGCCGGCCTGCCAATAAGCACACCCACTCAAAAAAAAGGCATTATTTTTTCTTCTTTTGTATTTTTTCTTTTTTTTTTTACTTAATTTAATAGAAAAATAGATTTCAATCTGATTTTTCTGATGAAGGTCACATTTAAGATATAATCTGAACGCCGACACAAAAAAAATCTGATTTTTGTGAGATATCATGAGCATTAATACCTGCAGGGTGAACGCAGCTGCAGTAGTTGGTGTGAATGCTGCTTTATGAGCTTTTACACTGTTGTCACTTTTGAGTTGTGTGATGATTTACATAGAACTTTGCTGTTAATCAAAAGTTTAAAAAGCAACATCATGTTTGATCATTTTCAACTCGAATATCATCAAGTTTCCTTAAAAAAAAGTAAAAAGCTAGTAATTCAAAACTGACTAAATCAGCTCGGCATAAACCGTTATAGAATTTTAGAGAATTGTTTTAACAACTACTCACTTTGTTTCTGGCTCCTGTTTGCTTGTTGATCCATTCCTAATTATTCTCTATTTCTCTAATCTGAGGTCATATTAAATTACAGCAGGTAAGATATTAACTGKTCATACGCTTTTCACAGAACCCCTAATTCAAATCAAGGAAAGAATACATTTAAATAAAAATTCTGATTCACTAAATCCATCAATTTCAACAAATTCATTCTATTTCCTGAATATAATCATATATTATGTCATTTTTTTACATGGCGTGTGAATATTATTCCATTACCTTGTCTTAAATTAAATTGTGCTACTTCGTCAAAAAACACAATAAAAGTGGGGAAAAGGCTGGATTCACTTCACCAGCATGGCTTTTTATGTAACGAACTCAATAATTGAAAGACAGAGCGTAACAAACTTCCACATTATTGAAAAAAATATTGTTTGGAGACCAACTATGCATAAAGCTCTGCTCTGTTCCAGGAAATAGAGAACTGAAATGAGACTCGTTTCCTAATCAGTTTCTGTCACRATCCCCGTTCATTTATTGACGTACTGCTGAGAGAGGAGATATGTCCGTACGGCCGTTCCCTTCCTCGAGAAAAGAAGGCAGGGTGTGTGTGTGTTTGATTGAGTCACTTATGGGGACTTGAACCAGCTCACACACCAGACATTTGGGGACAAAAGTCGAGTCCCCGTTTGGTTTAAACGCCATTGGTGGGTTGTGGGTTGGGTTTAGGACCAAGGTGTGAATTGARTTTAGGTTAGTTTTAGGGTCAGGTAGGTACTTATGAGGTTAGCCTTAGGGTTTGTGGTCAGGGTTAGGCTGTAGAAATGTAATGGAAGTCAATGGAATGTCCCCAAATAGATAGCTGTGCAAACGTGTGTGTGTGTGTGTGTATAAAAAACCGCAGAGATGTCTCCCTGTCTCTGATCTACTGCTGCCTTTGACAAAATGGGAGAATTGAGGGACAGGCCAAAAATGCTCCTATCCATCACCGCAGCCGCACACCAGCTCCATCACCTCCTTCCTATTCTCAAATTTACCCAAACTCTCTTCTGTTCTCGCCGTTGGATGTAAGATTCATCAAATTGTCCTATTATCATCAAAAAAAAAGGTCCTGAATAAGCAGCATATTTTTCTTGCTTTAAATGCTTACCACGGGGGGAAAGATCTTTTCCGAGCAGCAGCCCGGCTCATTCTCTCCGGCAGCAGAGACTCCCACAAAGATCCTCTACTCGAGCTGCAGCTGCTTTTTTTTGGCGCTCCTAAAGTTGTTTTTTTATGCTGCCTCGCAGGTTGGTCATCCAGGACTTGTCGAATGAGATCACCGTAGTGCGCTTCAGCCTGTGTGGGGCCCTGGAAAACAGGATCTGAGCTGAGCTGTAATGCGTTGACCTGAGCAAATGCAGAGCGTCTCAAACTGTGTGAACAGACGGCATGAGGGGAATTCATGTGTGCCCGCCGGAGCGGTAAAGATAAAGCTCAGCGTGCCAGAAGGGGGAAATTCGAGCATTTACTCTCTTTGATGACTTATTTCTAGGGTTTTGTAGCAGCCATCAGGGATGCAGCTTYAAGTGTACCCCAGCTTTGTTTGTGCTGCGTGTAGAGTCGTCTTGTGCTGACTGGCATCTGATTTGCACTCCATCTCTTTGGGAAACAGGCACACCCATCAGGAGCCATTAGTCTTCACCCTGACAGACCATCCTTCCACTGARAGACTCTCTGGCAGAGGGTTCAGATTGCCTCAGACTTTGGACATTTTTTTACAAATGATCTGATGCCGGTGCAAGCAATTTATAAAGCTGATTTTGTTAAAAACAAAAACTTTCTTGTGTTCCTCCACAGGTGAAGAAAGGTCAGCCGGTTTTAAAAAGCAAAAAAAAAATGTCTGACGACGCTGCCTTCCTGTTTGCAGACGGACGCGGCGCTGATGTACGACGCCGTGCACGTGGTGGCGGTGGCGGTGCAGCAGTCGCAGCAGATCACTGTCAGCTCCCTGCAGTGTAATCGCCACAAGCCGTGGCGCTTTGGAAGTCGTTTTATAAACCTCATCAAAGAGGTAAACACCTTCAACTACACTGAAAACTATAACTTGTAAGATTTACTTGAAAAAATTCCTCATAACAACTTGCACTAACGTTTAAGTAAATTTAAATGCTACAAATTAAAGTAATATTACTCATCGTTATCTAGTAAAAGTTATTAAGAATATAGTTAAAGA